CAGCATCAATAGAAAAGCACCCCTGTCATCAGGGACGTAAGGATGTGGAAACACACTAGAGTGCTGAGTAAACAGGGCCAGAAGTTTCACATCTAGTCCAGCTCTTTCCAAAAGCTGTTGCTTTATAAAGATAGAAAAGAAGGCTTATCTCTGGCCTTCATCACAAGTTCTACTATAATTACCGAGCTCAAATTAGATTTAAAAACAAGTTGTGAGAACATATCCTTTGCTCTCTACTGTATTGAAACCATCATATTCAATGATAGAAATCAATGTATGTTTTTCTTTTAATTTGTAAGCACTGCACGTTATAAGCACTACTGTTTCTCAGAATATGTTTTAGGCCTATTAAAAACTTACAGTATGTAACTTTTGAAAATCAGAATTTACCTTTGCTGTTAAATAGCTCCTCCATGATGCAGATACGGTGGAGAACGTGGTGCTGTGCCTCTTTTGCCTCTGGGATCTACGGACAAGGATGAATCAGCTGTAGCGTTCACTTTGCTACACCAGTTTGTGTTTTTTCTTCTCTTTCCTATGTGCATTCCTGAACATCTGAAAAACCTCCAGAAACGCACTGAGATTTGATTCACAGATATCAATAACAGCTTGTACTCTCATCTCTTAAAGGGAAGGGTTAATTTTGCTTTACAAACTTTTGCTTGGTAGCATTATTTTCAAAGTAAAAGCTCCTCTGTGTTTATGTTGAAGGGGTCATTTGAAGAGCTGCATGAGAATCATCTTCATCTGTGTCAACTTTTAAGTATTTTTATCTTGGGGGATCTTTCATCTTCCTTTGTGGAACATTTAATCTTGAACATTCCTTGCAAAAGAAGAAAATGGTTCCTGCTTACAGAATGAGTCTGTACTGGCTTGCCTGCTGTCCTCGTGAAAGTAGCTACTTCACGTGCGTATATTACGCTCTGTTTTAGTAATTCATAACTGCAAGTTTGATGTTGTGGGTCTAATAATAGCAACATTATAGTGCTATGCTACGCATAGACTAGATTTAGAGCTCAAGGGGAAGCCTTAATTACTGTTAAGTTCCCACATGACTTTGTTGCAGGATAGAGGTCAGAGTGCTCCTGTATTCTTTTGATAACTGTTACTTACATCAGCATGGTACTTACGCAGAGCCACAGGCGCAGGTTATGAGACCCAGATAAGATGTTACTAGGAACTCTTCCTCCAGCACGCGCTCTCTTTTCTCCCTTTCAGCCAGCAGTCTTCCAGCAGCTTTTTCCGCATGCACCATCTGCCCGTTTCTCAAAACTCATTTTCCCTCTCTTCATTTTTTTCTCTTTTCACGTGCCTTTTCTGTCCTTCCCGTCTCCGTTGTCTCCTTTCACCTCAGGAGAAAGAGGGATACCGTGGCCTGCAGCAAGGTTGCTTCCTCACACGGTTAAATTTCTGTCACCTGTTTTTCCTGATTGATCCCATAAGAAAGGGATCTGCAGGTTTGCTTTTTGCTGTGCACTGACAACTGAAGTGAATAAGAGCCTCTTTGGAGAGGAAGGACACGTTAGTGGTTGATATCAGCGTGGAATTATTGCTCTTTGCAGGCACATGCATCTTAAATAAGCTGCTGTTCACAACCGGGTCCATAGGCCCTTGTCGAACCCCAGGTGGGGGTTACATTCCTTCTTTCCACAGGACTGAGCAGATTCAAAATCACTAATGGTTTTGGGGTGTGTATATACATCTGCACGCCTGGTGTCACACATCTTAAAAGAATCATTTTTGGAAGCTAGTGCTCTGGCCCTTTAACAGCGCACTCTGACACGGTGGTTGTAGTGGAACACCCCAAATTTGAATCGTATCACATCACTGATCACTTTTGCACAAGAAAAAAGCCTGCAGCTTGTTAGCAACTATTTTAGATGCAAATGAGCATTAAAAAATGGGGCTTCTAGTTACAGAAAGTCTTTTACCCCAGCTGAGAAAAAAAGTCGTATACAGAAATCTTTCTAGCCCTGTTTTAGGTAACTATTTATTCTTCCCACACAATTAGCTGTACGTTTAATGCAGAGATCTATGTATAAACTCAGTCACTTCCTTATGTTCTAGTTTTGTTCTGGAGCCGAACCTCTCTCTTTCCTTCTTTGCTGAGCCCTTCTTGTGAGTCAGCCTTCTGCATGGGTCTTGTCTGAATTTACTCTCTCAGCACTTTCCAGGAACCACCTGAACCTTTCGTAATTCAGTATAATTAAAAACCAGGCCTCCAATTACACGACCACTGCAAGATAGTAACAGAAAAGGAAACTTTGCAAGAGTTATATATATATTGAAACTCGTACATCTCCTTCCAATCATTGTATGCGACCTCTAGGTTTTCTGTATCTATTTTTCTTCAAGATTTCACATTCAGTGCAGCGGGAAACCAACTTTGTCCACCAAAGTCTTGCTTTTTACAAGGCCATAGTATAACAGGTATTTCTAGGTTTGCTGAGAACATATATAAAAGAGGCCAGCAGTATTTTATGACATTTTTGTAAAACTGTGAAAGATATGGGAGAGAAAGTGATATTTATTTTGGTAAGTGCCACAGTAATACAGTACTCGGTAAAAGAAAAAAAAAGCTTTTTATTTCATGTAGTTTCATTTCCCACCATGCGGATCCATTAGGAATTGACTACTACAGATGCTAATATGCAATGATGACTCAGCTGTGGAAAGAATTTGAGATAAATGTCACTAACGGTTTTTGATGTATTATGTGGGCTTACCTCTGCCTAATTCTATTAGGATCAACAGCGGGGAAAAGCCTTATATTGTATTCTAAAAATATATACACACAAAGACATCTTTGGCTATTTTCATATAGTCCTCTCAAAGCCGTTTGTGGAAAACATCATACCTACTAATTTTGCTTGAAAGGAGGTATCAAACACGGTTATGAAACTGATGTTTATTTTGTCAAATAACAGGAGTTATGCCGTCTGACTGTTTGTATCTATAGCGTTGGTCTCCAGAGTGCTCTACTCTACCCTCATATCATGCTGCCTTTCAAAGCTTGGGTTATAGGCATATATCTTAATGTCATTGCCATCCTATGGCTCATCTTGAAAGGGTAGCGTAACCAGTGTTCGATTCTTGTTTATCTGAGCATTATATTTCTCAATATAAACATGATTATATTTAATATAAATTTCGGTTTCTGCTCACTTGGTGGAACTACCATAGGCTAATAATTCATTCGTAGTTAGTTAACTGCTGGGATAATCATTTCCAAACTTGTGTGGCAAAGACATCATCTGGTGATTATCAATTAGCCAGAAATAGCCTGGCTTCTCAGAATATTATTAAAGATACAGTCAACTTTCAGTGTGCTGAGAGTGATTAGCAGAATTGCCGATTAACTATACTGAAGATGCAGAAATGCCCATTATGTCTCCACATGTATACTAAAATAATAAGCACTTGCTAGACGCTTTTTGGCTCCAGAGGGAGCCACTCAGGATCCTGTGTGCTGCCTTCTACAGAACATCCTGCAGTATTAGGGTTGGCAGAGGTATCCTAGGCCTCATGACTTCGTTTAAGGGAAAATGGACTGGAATAAGAAATATCACGTATAATGGTATAACTACAAAAAAAATTGTAATATGTCTAACCAATTCATTTTAGAGACAAAAATATTAAATGAAGTATTTGCACCAGCTAGAGTCTAGAGATCAAAAATTACAAACTGCTTAACAAGTATGTTTTACCTGCTACATGACATCATCTAACAAGTAGTAAATTCTAAACAAGAATACCTGGCATTCTGCTGAAGGAGGATTAGTTAAATGAGTTACTTTTTCTATTCTTCTTAAAGCAGTGGCTCTTAGTTTGAAGAAGACCACTGCAGGCAACTATTCATTACCCATGAACAGATGATCTTTGCAGATGATCTTTATTGGCAGTGCTATTGTTGCAGATCCAGATGTTTTAGACTCAGCTTAGGAACAGTAATTATGACTATGCTGCTACCATCTTAGGTGTGAAAGCAGCACAGCGTGAGTGGCATGAGGCAGAAATTAATGCCCTGTCAGAGCTGCCTCCAAGAACAGCCACTTCAGGTATCTCTGTGCATAAATTTCCAAAATCAGGAGTACCTAGCGCATCCTTTTCATGTCATGTAGGGTAAGTCCGATCCCAGCTAAGGTAATTAGTATGTGACTGAAGGCAACCTGTGGTAGATGACTGGCTGTGCACCTCATGTCTGTGATCTAGGAGGCTTTCTCAGAGATAGCAGCGCTACGCTTACGTGCGGTTCTGGTGCTGAACTCCATTCAGAGCGCTAGGAAGTAGTTGCAGAGGTGGTGGCTACATTAGGAGCCATCTAAAAACTCCATTCATCAGGAAGTCTTGGCTCTGTTGCTAATCATGGAGTATTCCCAGGCAATGGAATATAATCGTCAGTACTAGCAAACTGCTGAAAGGCTTTGGTCTGTGCTGCTAACACTCTCCCCAACAACTCTCAGCATACTTCAGGAGATAACAAATGTGCCAGGGAACATCCCCAAATGGCAGCTGCCTTCTTCTGGCTATAAACTAACAAACAGAGAGGTAGGTCATTCCATGTCAACTGGCTTAAGCACCTGGGAGCAGTTCCAGACGCATTTAATTTAGTAACATTAATGGAGCTTGATAAAGCTTATTTGGCTTTAGGCTTGAGATGGCTCTTTGCAATTATTCCTCACTGCAATAGAGCTTACAGGCTCTTAAAAACTAGAGGAGCATGGCAACCCTCAAACTGCCCTGCAAGAATTGAGCCAGAACTGATAACGTCTACCACTGTTCTAGAAATAATGAGCCTAGCTAGACCCATCCCAATTCCACATGGAAATGCTACATTCTGTTTGCACTGAGCCTTCCAGTACATCAGTTTTTCAGTTACCCAGAGCATCCTAGCACCCCAGATCGAGATAACGAAGGCTTGATTGTAGGGTCACTTCAATTCTAAAAACATAATTCAAACCTAAAACCAAAAATATAAAAGCCTAAAACCATTATTCGGATTTAAACTTTCACAATTTTTTGCTCTTTATTCACTTTATAAATACTGTTTACATAGTCTAAAAACAAAACAAAGACATTTGTAGTGTGTCAGTCCCTAATTCTTAGCTCTCTGCTGGAGAATATCAGCCAGTTCTTTTGTTTTGTTTTGAAGAACGTAACAATATAGGAGCCCAAGTTGCAGATCTTCCTTGCCACCAAATAAAGCATACATAAATGATTCTTAGTGTGTCCCTCATCATTTAAAAAAGAGCAAGCAAGGGAAGCAATGTTACTCTTTCTTAACATTTAGCGCTCAGTTCCAAAACTGGTTTATATTTAGAGAGTTGTATTCCTAAGACCACATGAATGAGGCTGCAGCATTCTCATACAGACTTAGTGGGAAATAAAATTGACTAGCTGCAGTGAAAGAGAGAGAACTATTGACTTCGCACAATGAACAAAGCCAAAGCGGTTCTCTGAGTTACAAAGGCAATGAAGCATTTGCACTTGGAATTTATATTCGCAGACTCCTTTGATTCCTGGAACTTTTTGCATGTGATACAAATTAACAGGAGTTGCTAGATGTTCCACACTTTTGAAACTCTAGTGCTATTTAGTAGCCACAGAGCCACAAATTCAGAAATCCGGCTTTCACGCTGCTAATTAAATGCCAAAAAATGTCTGTGTGTTCTGGCTATGAACTCTTACTATTACAGTTGCTAATGCATACTTACACCCGCTTGCTTTTTGCTTTCCAGCTGTGCTGCTTTTCAAGCAGTTTCTTAACTGCATAATGCCTTGCACATCCAGTCCCGAAACACTCATTTTAATTGTTAATTTTAATGCCATGGTCTAGCTTTATCCTTATTCACTATGATGTGCTTTTAAAAATGTATTAATTTATTTAAAAGATAAAATTAATTATTAAAATTGTAGCATTTGATTTACATTTACCTGGGTATTGTATTAATACTGTTTTCTGTCCTATGAACTAAGATTTGTTTATATGCAGTGGGAGGCAGCTGCTGGCATGAATTTAGTCACTGTTTGTTGCACTTCTTTCTGGAGATCCAGTGAAGTGGTAGTCCAGGGGAGGCTGTTCCAATACATGAATCTAAAAGTAACTTACCTGAGGATGTTATTTTTCTACTCTGATTAAATTACTCTGCTGTGCTGTAGCCAGAAGCTAGTAGAAAAGACAACAGGAGGAGACAGATCTGACTGACAAACAGGGAGGTGTATGCCCTTACCCTACAGGCAATCTTGGCCAGCAGAGATGGATAAACTGATAATATGACCTACCTCAGTGTGATGGGTTGCTGAGAAGATTATGAAATTAATCTGCACCAGACTATTCTAAAAAATGTATAATCTATGGGATCAGGAAGAAACAGTCAGGATGGGATACTCAGGATCCTGAAAAGCAGTAGGGTATTTAAGGTATTTGAAAACCAGTTGGTTCCAAGTTCTTAGCAATCTAGGGGAAAAAAATCCTGCTATGAAAAGGAGTGAACCTAGGCCTCTTCAGTTGATAGCACAGAAAAACTGGAATTAAACTGCAGTGTCGCAGAGATCCTACAGATTTTGAGAAAAATCAAAAGAGAAAACAGAATATATACAAGCCATTTAACTATGGTGGAACAAGTTCATCTTACCTATCAGTCGTGCACTCAATCCACCGAACAACAGAAAACTCCATCTCATGCTAAGTTCTATTATTAAAAGTGTCTGTTTTAAGGACATCTCTCGAGCAGTAAAGGTTTCATGACAAAGACACTCATTTTTGCTGGCATTAAGTCAAACCGCTATTACCAAGATAAAGGATCAAGCTGACATAACCGTTTCATTCATTTCACAGTACTTTTTCTATAATCTCAGTGCTAGGCCACCTGATGGTGCAGTGTTTTATTTTGAGTTTTGCAACTTGAAATTACATACAGTTTAAAGAAATTTAAAACAAAAGACACAACTACTATCTGTCAGCAAGTTGCTTGCTTTAAGGTATAGGTTTCCAATTTTACTAAAAGGAAGGACCACTTTCATTCCATTGGTACTGAGACCTTGTCTCCAGCTACACTTAACAAATACATCCTAATAAATTTAAGAACAAAACATCAGTAGAAGCTAATCTTACAATAGAGACAATTTCTCTGCTATTGAAATTCGCACTTTTCTAATTTGTTAAAAAAAAAAAAATTGGTCCACATAGAAAGTAAAATGGGTAAATATAAGTCTAAGCTGAGCAAACACTGTCCTTTTTATTCAGTTCCAGTTGTAGTGGTCTCTTGGAGGTAAGTCATAATGTGTCCTCTCTTCCTCTTCAGGTCCATAATCTAATGGCAAACCGTAATTGTAATCAACTGTTACAACTGGTAACCTTTTGCCTTGTACCATCTCTCTTGTAGTTTCACCTTGAAAAGGTTTTCTTTCATAGTCTGTTGAACTATCTTCCTGGTGAACAGATGAAGATGGATGCATTGTACGTGAAGAATATGGTGCAAACCTGTTTTTTCCTCTACTAAAGTCATCCGAAGGATGCATTCTCCTACTGTCTTCAAGACAATTTGGTCGATTACTGTAACGAGAATATTAGTAGTGAAATCCTTAGAACAAAATAGTTGATTTGTCATTGGTGGCCACCATTAGAAATTATGTAACTTTAAAAGAACGAAAAGTCAGTTCCTCATTCTTGATTTTACCCCCTACAAATCCTCTCTTCTAGATGTTGCAAACTTATTTATATGTACTTTTTATTTCTAGTGATTGAAGTTATGACTCTTTATGTTAGGTAATTCTACTCGGAAGTGTTTTCTTTCAAGTGTTGCTTCTAATTGAAATTCCCTATTAACTGAGGGTTTCTTTACCTAGGCACCATTTCTCCTCCTGAGTCCATGTTTTCATCCCTGTGAAGAATACATAATAGTAGCTCTCTGCTACACAGTTTCGATAATATACTTTGGCAATAATATACTTTGGAACTGTATCTCAAAATATTTTAATTATTGATTCTTCTGCTGTATGCCCACAAAATATATATGGAAGGATCTTAAAATACCAGGTACATATATAATATAAACTTTCTGTTTTGGATTCGGCTTACTCACAAGTACCTTACTTACTCGGTAAAATAAGTGGTGTGTAAAACCAATTCAGAACGATCTTCATAATTTTAAAATCGTTTCCTTCACAGAACCATAGATTAATTTAGATTGGAAGGGATCTCTGGAAGTACCTATCCAACCACCTGCTCAAAAGTAGGTCCAATTAAATAAGGTTGCTCCAGCTCATGTCCAGGCAAGCTCTGAATAGCTGAAAAGATAGAGAATCCACAACCGCCCTGGGCAACCTGTTCCAGGGTCTGACCATCCTCACATTAAAACTTTTTTCCATGTATCTAACCACAATTCCTCATGTTCTGACTGCCTATGCCTGTTGCCCCTTATCCTATAACTATACGCATTTAAGAGATGCCTAGCATTCTCTTCTCTATACCCTCCAATTAGGTAGTTGTAGGCATTGGCAAGAGCACCTGTAATAATAAATAAAGCACCTGTACTTTGCTTTTTTCTTTACTGACGGGAATTTTTTTTTTACATTTTGTAGTAACTTAGTTTGAACCATGCTTGCCACACCAATGACCTAAGTCAGGGATTCTCAAGCCATAATGACATAAACATCGTAAGGACACTCAAACCTTATTCAGATGGACCACAGTTTAATCACTGTTTGGTCAGTGGTCGGATTCAAGGGTTTAAGCTGTGTTTAAGCAAAAACATTAACACCAATATTTACCCTGTAGAGTTCATTTATATATTTTATAGCTGCAATACTGGGGGAATAGTGGGGTAAAGGTGAGCAAACCAACATATGAAACCTGATATTTACCTGTAACTTCTGTTAAAGTCATCATTATCAGACCCATAATCTCTGTGAAGTGAAGGGGATGAGGAGAAATGAGAGTCTGGTACATTTTCATGGGATGAAAAAGATTGACTTCTGAAAAGAATGAAAAGAATCACATGTTAAGAAGAGTATACATAGTTGTAAGCTTTGGACAAATATAAATATGTTTATTATGAGATGAAAATCTTTTTACTTTTAATTACAAATTACTTAAAAGTAAAACGTTAATACTAAAATTTTAATCATATTAGTTTAACACCTCAAAATAGTAAGCCTCAGTATAATCACGTAATAATCTCTTTCAGCTCTATGATTAAAAATAAATTAAATCAGACTTCACTAGCCCAGCAAGTATCTGAAATACATGTTTTCTGAATTACAGAAAATATTTTGAAATTTTATGTCAGAAACTGTACTACTAAGTCCAACAGGTTTACTAATAAGTGATACATGTATTTTGGAGAGCATGCAAAGGTAGTCAACAAGAAAAGCATTTTTAACAAATGATTAATTTATGAAATAAATAAGGTAAAGTCAAACTTCTGGGTAGCGTTACTATTTAACTCAGTTTGACTGAGGGCATAAAAAAATTTTACATCCCCTTCTGTCTTGAGGATTGCTTTTTAAATGTAAATTTCTCTATAAAACAAAGTGGGACAAAGTTTTGTTTCAGGCTGACTCTGAAGAGGTAAAGGAAACGCATACGCTTAAATTAAAGAAACTTCTAATTTCGAAATAAGACACGCTGGTTTTCAAAGCTGCAACACTCGAACATAGGTCAAACCCTTCCATCAATCAAAATAAAAAAAAGTTAATTAATTGATCATTCAAACGTGACTTGAAAAGGATAATTATTTCAAATTAACATATTCCAAAAGTGCAATCCTCAGCATTTCTAAGGTAAATTTCAAATTTGAAATGCCAATCTCACAGCAAAAGGATACTTCACCTGTCTGAACACCATTCATGTGGCAAGTCATCATGAGCTGGATGATTATGAAAAGACCTCCTTTGTCCATGCCCTTTATTAGCATAATCAAAATCTTTTAACGGAGTCTGTTCCTGTAAGTCATCGTAAGACTGTTGGTCGTGAAAAGGTCTGCGTCTTGGTCCAGGACCCTTATTATCATCATAATCCTTTAGTTGCATCTCTGTTTGTAAGTCATTGCGAGGCTGGTGATCATGAAAAGGTCTCAACCTCTGCCCACGGCCCCTATTAACAAATTCAAAATCTCCCAGTTGCATCTGTGGCTGTAAGTCATCACGTGACTGATAGTCACGGAAGGGTCTCAGTCTTTGGCCAGAACCTTTGTTGACAAAATTTAGCTCTTTTAACTGCATCTGGTTCTGAAATTCATCCTGAGACTGGTGGTCATGGAAGGGCCTTCGCCTCTGGCCACGGCCCCTGGAAACAAAATCAAAATCCTTTGATTGTACATCTTCCTGCAAATCATTGTGAGATGGATGGTCAGGAAAAGATCTCTGCCTTTGTCCCCGGCCCCTATTAAATTCAAAGTCCCTTGACTGTCTCTCTGCCTGTACATTATCATGAAACTGGTGGCCATGAAAAGGTCTCAGTCGCTGTCCAGGTCCCTTGTTACTGAATTCTAGGTCCTTCAGCTGCATGTCTTCTTGGTAATCATCATAACACTGGTGATCAGGAAAGGGTCTTCGCCTCTGTCCCGGTCCCCTATTGTAGTCCCAATTTCTCATCTGCATTGGTGCTCGTAAATCATCCTGAGACTGATGGTCATGAAACGGTCTTCGTCTCTGTCCAGGTCCCTTATTAATGAAATCAAAATCTCTCAACTGTATCTGTCCTTGCAAATCACTGTTTGAGTGGTCATCATAAATTCTTAATCTTTTCCCAGGCCTGTAAAGAAGTTTTTATCTTAAATAGAACATCTATACTTGTAAGTGCTACAAGTTATTAATAAAAATAAGCTTTTTAAACTAAGAATTGAAAGACACAGTAAGTAAAATATATAGGTACCAAAGCTATCAAAGCATCTGAACTGTCCAGTAAGATTATAAAACTTTCAAAAGGCGTCACAGTAGAAGCTGTGACAAACATTTAATTGTAATTGCCTGTTAAAGAAAAAAAAACAGGCAAAACCAAAGGGATTCCAAAGTAATTAAAAAAAATTGCAAACTACTCTAGAATAACATAGGATGGGTGAAGTATAGCAAATTAAAGCAAAAGAACCTTTGAACTGTAACGAATCTAACTACTTCTGGACTTCTAATGGCAGACATTCCTTTATCTTTTCACTGCTGTGTCAAATTTTGTAAATACATTTTGCATGGGCAGTGTGTATTCATACAAGTTCTTTTAAGCTAGAATATTTATAGTACTTTCAGCGTTTCAAAACATCATCCCCAATGCAGTGAAAATCAGCTGATTCTCCTGTAACATTCTAGTGAATCGCTAGTATAAAAAAACAGCACACAGTAAGAAACTTTTATCTTTCCCGCTATGTGTTTTTGTTAGCTTCTAAACCCACGTTTCAGCCTATTACCCCTGAAAATCTTCATTTGGGAACCGTTCTACAGGTCCTTCCATTGCATGTGGTGGGGGAATAACATCTTCTTCTGAATCCCACACATCCATTCCAAGGTTACTAGGGAGAAAAAAAACATTTCACATAAGCTTCCCTTTTAAACATACTAATGAGGAGGAAAAAACCATTCTTCAGCTGAGAATGACAGATTTTTTTTGCATATAAGTTGAATGTATAGATGCTCCTCATTATCCTAGCAAATTTTAATTTTGTAAATTTATCTAGGATGGGGTAGGGGGAAGAAGAGTATACCTAAACTTCATCAGCCTAGAACAACACCCTAAAGCATGTGAGACAAGCACCACACCTATTCAAAAATCTGATACTAACTTAACCATGCAGAGACTATGAAAATGATAGTACAACAGGACGAAAGGGCATTCAATTAAATTAAAAATACCCAAATAAGTCTGTTTTTTTATAAATCAAGTTACTGCTATGAGATATCATTGGTGCAAATAACTTAGTAGGAGATAAAGGTTAGCTATTCCTAGGTACATTAGGGTATGAATACGATAAACAAAATCCTTATGCATCAGGGATACAACTGGTACCAACAGAGGAGTTGAGCAGAATCTTCCATTCCGGCTAGTTTATCTCATACCTTTTATTTCTGTAACTGCTGTACTTTCTTTTAAAATTTCTGGTTCTACCATGCTATCGACAGCAGATGGACCACTGACCTTATTAGGAGATTCTTTGCAGTGGCTTTTCAATTTATAATAAGGGAATACCGACTGACTGAACGCACTTGGGAGAGTATGATACAGTAACACCAATGCTCAGTAGTACAATCAGTTAGATGAAAATATCTTTTGAACCATATAAACTCAAAAGACAAACAGAAGGAGGTATATTTCACTTCATGTTACTCATATCAGAAGTCTTACAAAATATGCATATTTGCATATTACAGGTTTAAGAGAGGGGTTCACTTTGGCTTACAAATGGAAGTGAACTTTTCAAAATGCCAGCAGGCATTCTGGAAAATTGTAGGCATACAACTAAAAGCTTGTGTTTACCTTCTCATTGGCTGTGTTCTGAGATCTGTGAGATACACAAGACCATCCATGCGATGACCTCTAGCATCGCCAAAAGCTAAAGAAAAAAAAGATACGAGTCTAATGAAATGGGCTTAAACTGAGCCACAAAAAATTTGAAGGCAGGTTTCTGTTCATCATGAGATCTTGAACTTACAACAATTCTAACTCAGTATTAAATACTGCAGCAATCTGGTATCATTGCAGCAAGTCTCTTTTCTTTGTTTTTTTTTTTTTTTTTTGAACAACTGAAAGCAGCAGGGGAAGCTGCTTATGACTGAAAACCATTCAAAGCAGAAGCAAGAAAATGGATTTTATAAAGCTGAAACAGCCTTCTACTAGGTGCCAACTTGCTAATGCTCAAACTTTTCCTGGAATAAAATCAACCGTCAGTGGAAATCTTCTACGGGAGCCAGCACGTGAGATAGCTCTAAGGATACTATAACAGGATTCTTTTGTTAATTACAACACAGACATTCGCCTTAGTTCAAACGGTGTAACATACCTTGGATTGCTGCCTCTGGATCCCAGCCTTCAACATCAATAAGATACCTGAAGAAAAACATGATCAAATTATTGCCCCAAGTGGTTTACAGATTAATATAAGCACGCTCTCTTTGTGAACAATGATTTCAGTTCTCACGTAACCCTTACCTACATATAAGGTAGCCAGTTCTATTAATTCCATTAGTACAGTGAACGCCAATGAGTTTCTCTATCAAAAAGGAGAACACAGACTTTAATAGTTCAGAAAGTGAAATTTCTATAGAATTACCGCAAAACAGAAAAAAGTGGTGTACTTTCCTAGTAAAGCAATGACGAATAATGCTTCCTTTTAACAAAATTATATACACTGTCATGCCTGTAAAAGAAGAGACACATCCAGACTTTGTCCACATGCTGGACCTCTAGCAGCAGTTAACTCATTACTTCCAAACCTGTGAAGACTGAGATTAACTCTGCAGAATTCAGGAAAAAGAAAGAAGAGTGATGACACGAGAAGTTACCTGCCTTCAGCCACAACTGCAGTAACAGGGAAAAAAAAAAAAAAAACAAGGAAGTACGTATTTGAAAGTAAATTTTAACAACTAGCGAATGTAAAACTGAAGAGATTACCTTACAGATTCTTACAAACCTTATAAAAAAGAGAAAATACGCATAATGTTCTTAATATCTAGGGGTATGAAATACCTTACTGGAGGAATACATTAACTGGACTAAAAATCTGGGTAATTACTGGGTTGAACTACAGAGATGAGGAATTCAGGTTCACGCACATAGTATTCTGAATACCGTATTATGGATGGAGAAGAAAAACACTTAAGGGCAAAGTTGGCATAACAGTAAACATTATTAACGGACTGAAAGTTTTAGACTAGATTTCAGAAGGTAAATTTTAACCAACTGGAGAACAAAGTTCTGGTAGACCGCAAAGTACTGACAGAAGGTCTTTGACATGGGACTTCAGTAAATTTTTGAATGAGATGCAATATTACTATCTGCCACAGAACGTGATTGTAATGGGACCACGTAAGTTTATTCCAGTTCAGTGTCCTAAGAACTCAACCACTAAATAAACAAATTACTCAAAATTATTCATAAGGAGAATCCTGAGAAATTTTAGGGGTAATCTAAAACAGAAGACAACTTACAAAGAGAAAGTTAATGCACAAATGAAAACTCTCCACCTCTGAACTTAAATAAACCCTGCCAAAACAGTTTTACTAGCCAGAACTGATAGTCTTCATCCAACAGCAAATTAGGAACTGATTCTCTTGATTCTGAGAATCAGAAATAATTAGAGACAAAAAAAGACAACTGTCACACTAAAAATTACTAGGCCAAAACTAGAAGAAAATTAGTCGCTCTCAAGTAATTTGTACTTCCTCCTAAACAAAACAAAACAAAAAAAGGCGCTTTTTCTTGTATCTTGTCATTATTTCTTGTACCAAGTCATTTTATCAGCGCTTCCAATTTAGGCCCTCACACCTGAGATTTAGGTCAGAGTTCTTTCACTCAGAGCTGACCATCGACAGCAAAAACTATGCATTTGGGCAGTTAAAATCTCTACTTTCTGACAGAAAATGCCAGAGTGACCAGAGCAAATAGGCTAAGAAAGCTTGAAAGAATGGTCATCTAATATCAGAATGACATCTGCTCACTAGAATCACTAACAAAAAAGTGAGAAAGTAAAAGCAGCAAAAAGGGCATACCAAAATTCACACAAAATTATTCCACAGCAAAATGCCATGTTACAGCTCAGGGAGAACTGCCCTAATGCATAAACACTAAAACAGCAACAGATCTACTCTGTGGAAACACTGATGCTGCAGCTGTAAAATTATTTTTAAGAACTGCTATGATAGGAGCACAATAATTGACTCATAATTCAAAAAGCTGCTATGTTTGACTAAATAGGCTTGACTAGGTTGCCCACACATCCGTGCCCAGCGCCATCTGAGAAATCCTATGCTCTCTACAACATCCATTAAGGGATGGCAGCTATGACATGGAAGTGATGGGTCACCTGAGCTGCTCAGGTCAGACAGATGGAAGCCTTATCTCTTACCACGTATTCCAAGTCAGACAGATCCGGACAACTGATAGAAGCTTTGTGGAACAGGTTCTTAGAGGGTGGAGCTCAGACGGGGGCATTCAACAAGTATTCCTCAGGGGAGCCTTCTTCAGCACAATTAAGGAATTATCATAAAAAAATAGCCTAACTACCACAACATAAAGCAGTATGAAAAGCCTCAAAATTACATATCAAGCAATATATGTCTGTGCCTCAGAAGTGCATTTAAAATTTACCAGCTAATCAAAGGATAGTTTTCTCATTTGCAGGTGCTTTTACACATAACACAGATATAGGTATAATACCATTAGGAAGGGCATTCAAGTAACGTTTGTCATTTTTGAAAAAGATATGTTTTAAATACAGAAAAAAAAGCTGGTAGTTCACATATCTTCTTATGATAATAAACTGGATCCTGTTATTGACAGTTTGAGATCCCTGATGTCTTAAAGTATCCGTTGCACTTAATAAATCATACAGTTACCACTGAAATAAAACTTTGGTCTTTTACAGCCTAAGATACTGATAATTACCATTTCCTGCATTTTCCCATAGGAATTTTCTGACCCATTTTTTGAACTGCAGGATAGTAGCATTATCGGGGACTTCAAGTCCAACAGTATAGAGTTTCTTATACTGCACGCTTTTAGGTAAATCCTAGCAACAAGAAGAAAAAAAAAATCTGTAAAAATTATTGAAGTCTTGCATCAACGAAAACCTTAAGCAGTATTAAAAATAATGCTGATATAAAACAATAGTTCAAATCCTAAGTAGAAACTGAAAGTGAACTTAACACAATTCTATAAAAAGAGACACTCTCAGAAGCTACCATTTTCATTTCTGTTATAAAAACCTGATCTGAAACAAAGATCAGAGTTTCTACAGAAGAGTTGCTTACCCCTGATAAGGCAGCACATTAATGAAAGAGAGCAGAGGTTCCTGTATTCTATTCCATTCCTGAATTCTATTCCATTTCAATCCATTTCACAGTTATCAGCAATATTCAACCCCCCCGCCCCCCACAATCATACACTCACACATCCCCCTCCCCCTTAGTTCTTATAGTCCATGTACATCCAAGGATTAACGTTCAGCTACAACATTCCTATATATTCTCACTCTCAATGCATTAGGAAGGCAATCAAAATTGTTTGGACCATACTGGCAACACGTTTTAAATAAAGTAACTAAAAAATGCACGCTCTTCTGAATGGATTCCTTTGGAGAGTAATAAAGAAACCATTTAACAAGAGACCTCAGCATAAATAAGAACGTCTTCAGGGCACAGGCTGGAGTCTCCTGCATCTTTTCTGCGGTGCCTGGCACCCTGATCTTTATATATTATTCTGAGCTACCATAATGCAAATAAGCCACAGATGCAACTATCTGGGAGAAGGAGTTCCTTCCTCTGTGATAAACATGTTGTTTCTGCTGGAGACACAAAATAAGTCTAGCTGGCTCACTTGTTTATTCCAGTTCAAGGTGAGCAAATGTGTAAATACTACTTTAAAACAAACATGGCAGTAACTGTTTTATTTTGCTATTATTCTTGTATTACCTTAACTTCATAGTATCGTGTGGTATATGTTAAATCAATAATTAATCCAAGTTCCACATTTAGGGCTTTCATTGCAGCAATTAGGTCTTTTGGTGTGAATTTCTGGGTTGGAGTAAGCCTCTGGTTAATTGCCTATATAATGAAAACGGAAAACAAAGATTTTATTTTAATAATAATGCAGTTGTAAGATTCAGCTGTTTTCATCAGGACGAGGAAACATGAGTATTCAAAAGACAATGTTTACAGTATCAGAACCATATCCACGTATTATATGGATAAAAAAGTAAATGGAACCAAAGAAGAAATCATGACTTTGTTGTGTCATACAGACGAAAAGGCAAGAAAATGTGTGCAAGTTCCACTTGTACGCTTCAATAAAATTAAAATATGCACTGATTTAATAGACAAATCCTGCAAAACGAGGAACAGATACGCTGATTTTTAAGTCAGTAACAGCAGAAAACAAAACAGCACAGTCCCCTTTCCCCCAGACTTCGTCTTGCACAATAATACAAAATTACCAGTGTGTTTCACATAAACATTCAAAGTTGTGATGCAAGAATTATCTTTCTTCTAAAAGGTTTAACTTTCTCCCCACAAACGTGGAGAAATTTTTACGCCTGCTTCATCTCTTGGCAGAATGTATTTGTATGCCATTTAGCACTCAGAACTATTAAATAAAACTAAAACACAGTTGCTTAGAAAGCTGTGTTGATATGTAATAAGTAATTAATTTTGTTTGACAGAAATAGTGGGAGAAATGTTTACTCATCCTATTGTTGTTGGGTTTTTTTCGGAACGTGTTCTCCATACGGATTCCACTCTTAAGTATGAAAATGCCTCATATACACACGATGGCTTTTCCCTGAATAGTGCGCTGCCCACTGCGAGAGCCTTTTCACACAGGCTCAGCGGCAACCAATAAAGACAATGCCGAAACAGATGCAGGAGCATCCCTTAGTTCCTTTCACCTCTCAGTTCCTTTGTCAGTAAGAAGTTCAAGTAGACTGCACTCATCACTAATGGAAATGAAGGCAGCCACCGATCACATACCTTTTAGAACTACAGATGCTATAGGGTTAACTAATGATTTCTTCTTCTGAATGCCTGTACAGGTTCTAATCTAACATGCTAACAAGCACCTAGCTCATGCCTGTAAACAGACAGGAATACAAATTAAAGAATAAATAGCAGGACAGTCCTACCAAAGCTAGTATGTGATTGGGAAGCTGGAGACAAAAGGAGCAATGGGATAGAAAGCCTATGTAAGTATTTAGTCCTATCTATTTCAGGTATTGGGGCACTGATGAAAAACCAGTGGAGGGTGTCTAACTCCAAACAAAATTAACACGAGTCATATCTCTCAGCTATCCCGGAGTAATTTTTAATGAAATTTGAAACTGAACTTAGTAACTTTGAGGGAACAACTGAGAGTCTGCAAAAAGTCTGGGATAAAACTTAAAAGGATTTTTTCTTTGAAGATAAAAGCTACATACTACGTAAAGTCACATTTAACATTGAGTTAGAACATTGTGTATAAAAGTAAGACATCTCTAAACGTATTGTCTTATTCAGTAAACAGAGCTGAATATATTACGAAAGATTACGTTCTGAAAGACTACTTGAGATTTTTCTGAGACATTCCGGCTGAGATGTTTCACTAGAGTATTCCGTAGGTTAGGTGTTTAATTTGGCTTTGGTAATATGAGAAGTCTGTCTCAACTCTAAACTCCTTTTAACAGCATCGGAAAGAACTTGCTCAGTCCTGGCTATATACCACAACGTTATTGTCAACATTACAATGACAATTGGAATGGAATTACAGAAAATCCTTGCAAGTAAACCCATGATTTTAAAATATTTACTTGCAACACAACTCCTGCACAGACAATAATCACAGAATCACAGAATCGTTTAGGTTGGAAGGGACCTCTGGAGATCATCTAGTCCAACCTCCCTGCTCAAGCAGGGTCACCTAGAGCATATTGCCCAGGATCACATCCAGACGGGTTCTGAATATCTCCAG